TTACCATCCGATGATAATCAATATAATCCAATTAATAAACAATATCCACCTCGTTCATATGGTTCATCATTATTAAATCCTCATGTTTATGTAAATTATGCTTCGGATGATTTAAATGATGAACAAATAACTTCTCCAAGTTTACAATTTACTTGCGAATATAATCCAACTACATTTAATATAAATTTAAATATAAAAAATTTACGAAATATGAATATATTTAAAAGAGCGATAAAACCAAATACATTTATATTAATTCGATCCATGTTATCGAAATATAAAATCAACGAAACAGCAACTAAACCTTTTCAAGATTATATTCATTTTGGTGAAGTATTTCCTATATTAAATAATATACATCCAGGAGATGCATTAAATTATGAAATAAGATTTTCTCTCATACTAATAATTGATCAAAAAACATATGAAATAGCTGAATCTATTTATTCAATGAAAAATGACTCATTAACGTATATTTTATTTATTGAAAGAACATTACCAATGGATTTAAAACTAGTTGAAAGTAATACGAAATAAATTAAATTGAAAGAATATTTTTTTTAAATATTTGTTTGTTGTTGTATTGTGTCGACATAAAAATGAATCTAACACACATATTTATTAAATTAATGGAAGATAATATTTATTTTCTTTTTGATTGATAATGATAAATAACTTGTATTTATTTTCTCGAATAATAATACACAAGAAAAAAAAATATTATTTTAAAATGATTGATGTATTGACTCAATCAGAAAAATTTACTCTATGCATATCATCTTGTCAAGTTATTTTGAGAAGAATAAAAAATTTTGAAAAACTTAGCTAAAGAATTAATTATCCAAATAGCTTGAGAAGTTCCTTCAAAGTATTATATAGAATCCTTTTTACTAGTAAGAAGATGATTTCAGGTGAGTTGAAAATATTTAATACTAAGTGAAATAAACAAAAAGAAAAGTATTAATATAATTCTATAAGATTAGAGTAGGATGACAGTATTTGTACTGTAAATACCAGAGTTTAGTAGCTTATCTTCGAGATAATAAGAAAACACGATTTGTAATATTTTCGAGTTCAAGCTAAAATTAGAGATCATCAAGTTCAGTGCAAATTCTAATAGACGATAGTATTCAATTAAAAAAGGAAATTTTTCAAGGTTGATATCAGGGTCTCCGATTAGCGGAGGGGGAGTCTAGCCCCCCGCAAAATTCGAAAAGCTGTCTGTATTTCTGCTAAGTTTTTAAAGTTTTGATGAAAATTTGATCAAAAACCTGATTTTTACGCTATTTTCCCGTGAGAAACTCCAATAAAAACACTTTTTTCGAACAAAATTCCGCAGAAAGTGTATAGTTTAAGTATTTTCTACGTTGTATGCGTCAGAAAGCTATATGACGGCATTTTCTGGCAAATTTTATCCCTTCGCACTTTTGAAAACAATCGGGAACCCTGGTTGATATACGATTTAAACTTATCAATTGCGAATAGTTGCCTGAATATGTATACATAATCGATATTTTAAAATAACATTTTAATATATTTTTAATTCAAAAAAAAAAATTTTAGTTTACAATTAACTTTATTTAAAAAATAGGTTATAATAGACCAATAAAAAGGATCTCGAAAGATGCGCATGACGAAATTTGCGGGCGAATGTAAAAGGGTTCGTTTTGTTTTCAAACCCTCAACCCACATGCAAGTTTCATTATGCGCATTTTTCGTATTCCGAACTAAAATTTTATTGTTTATAATTTTGATAAGTTTAATTTTTTTTCGAAAATATCTTTGCTAATTCATTATTATGTTCACTAACATCCAGACAATCAAGAACTGAATAACCGGTTGCAACTCCACCTTCATTTGTATCTGTTGTTTTCGTTCGAACTAAATAACCAGTTACTTCATTAATATGTTCTTCATTTGTATCAACATTTGTAACCATTGTTCCATATATACCAATTTCATTAATACATTCAACATGTAATACATGTTTACCATTTGGTTTAATAAGACATGTTGTACAAACGGGTGGAAAAATTTTTTCCATAGCTATATAGTTAATTAATTGTTTTTCTTCATTTTTAATTGTATTTAATATATCATCATCATATTTATTATTTCCTCCACCTTCACGATTTGGTTTAAGAACATAACTATGTACATTTTCACGTAAAATATTAATATTTTTTTCACGAGTTTGTTGATCATCAAATGTAAACATAGATGCAAATGTTGAACGTATATTTGTTGATAAAGTTTTATCATCTATATATTTTTCAATAATATGATCATGTGTTAAATATTCTTGAACAATTTTACAACCAGCTAATTGTGAACGAATTGTTGGACATTTAATAGCACGTGATTGTTCAATTTTTTCACGTATTAACCAACAATTTTCATTGACATAATGATCAGGTATATAACCAGCACGAAAATAAACAATTGCTATTTCATCATTTGATGGTTTTAAATGAATATTAAATGTTTTTTCATCATAGAAAAGTTCATCAATTAATTGTTCGAATGTTTTTGAATGAAAACGTATATTTGGTCGAATTTTTTGTATTGCATCAATTAATGCATTTTGATCACATATATTACGTTCATTTGGTACAATAAGAAATAGAATACAAGCATTTGGATTATTATATAATTCGAATGCTTTAATCATTGCTTCAGCAGATTTTATTAATGCATTATTAGGAAGTATTAAATCAATTGTTGAAGTAGATTTTTCTTTTTCTTCACCAATTTCTAATTCACGTACATTGCAATTATCAAAAGCATAATGTAATACAGCTTTATGTAAATCAGCAACTATACCAGTTAAACCAGCAAATGCTGAGCTTATAGTATTGAATTCAATTTGACGCATTTTATTGAGTTTTGTATCAAGCATGTAATCGTCTAAAAAATTTTAATGATTTAATTCGTACTATTATTATTTTTAATAAGATTATTTTCTCTACAAATTTAAGAATCATTTTATATGTATGACATTCTGTTCATTGCATAGCATACTCGACATATTTTCTCAAGTAATGTAAACGACAATCTTATAATAATCAAATTACACTTGACTTTTATTCTCAACTAGGATTTAAGCGGACGAATTCTATTAAGGAACAACAACATGAGTAACCCTTGAAAATCGTTTTTTTCTTATACACGCAAAACAATAGATTTTGTTTTATTAAGATAATTTCAGTATATGTCTCTTACATATTTATTTTCCAAACCAAAATAGGGGTTATTATGGTCGCGTCGACATAAATGTTCTAAAGACTATTTTAAATAGATCATATTCTTACTTCGATAGATATCTAATTGAATAGGCTGTTGTCTTTTAGATGTACGATGAATTTTCCATAATCGTGCAATAAAATCATCAATTGGTATAACTGATGAAAGTGCTTTTTCAAGAACTTCATCATCGAGAGATACACGATTATAAAGACGATTATAAGCGATTTGAATTGACCAAATAAATTTGAAATGTGAATAAGAATATGGACTTGGAAATAATGAAAATGGAACAATAGTTGCTTGATCTACAGTGTCAGGAGCAAGACATAGAAGACCATGAGTAAGAGCATAACGTTTAGCAAATGCTACTATATCTTCAATTGGCCATCGTAAACGCATTGCTCCATCATCTTGCTTATCTGTAGACATTTTTTTACAAATATCCTTTGATAATAATTTTTTTGCCTTGTCATGTATACCTTGACATGAGTCATTTGTTTTGTAGAATGGATTAAATAATGAACCAGTGGAATTGATTTTGATTTTCTTAGTGAAGTATTATTTTTATTCGTTTTATATTTATCATATGTTGACACAAAATTCTTAATTATAATATGTATATGATGAAAAGCAAGAGTTTTTCGATAGATGGCGATCAGTGATATAAAACCTATACATTTGTTTCTTATTCTTATTTGATGACTGTATATTATTGAAAGACTTTGCATTAATTCTAAATCTATAATCAAATGGTTTTTTAAATAAGTCATAAATATAAAATGTTTGCTATGAATAGATTTGTTAATGGATTTTTAAATTACAAAAATGATTCATATGACTGTATGTAAAACTTAATTGTGTGTGTTAAAGAAATGCTGAACTTAAATCGAATATAATAAAGAGTGACATCTGTTTTTGATTGATTAAAAGAAAAAACCAAGACGGAAATATGAAAAAATTTTAATTAAATTCTAGAAAATTCTTATTTTGCATATGATCAAGATGATATATGAATAATTTGTATTTTTGTACCGCGTCTTTGTTCTCCAGTAGTACTGGTAACAGTTTCTCTTTGTTATTACAACGTCCTTAAATCATTTTCTGGTCTAGATAAAAATTATAATCATCAATGTCGGATAAAACAAATGAAGATCCTCATGATGTAAGATAAATGAACAAAATTTACATTTTATTCATCTTTATTATTTAGATCTATGCTGAAATTGAAGCTGTTAAAGTTCCATTTGACGTAGCACAATGTGATAGTGATTTAATGTATACTTATTTACCAAATTGGCTTAACAGTCTTACTGATGAAGAATTACGAAGTCCACCAATGTCAGCTAATGTATTTCAACAATATATTCGTCGTTCTCATCTTGAAGCAACAATGGCTAATAGTGTTAGAAAAATGGCTTTAAAGTAAATATCAGATCGAAAATAAAAAAAATTATTTTAATTAAATAATATGCTATGAAGATTTGTAATAGCGTTTGAGTAAGATTCTTTTTTCAATCTAATCGATAGAAAAATGCCTGATATTCGTGTCGTGATGTTATATATATATAGAATAAATGTTTAATATGTTACTTCTATTCAATCACTCTTCAACACAGCGAGAAACATGACGATAACGATTGGCAATCTACTGATGAACAGCTTGAAACCTACAGTAACGATCGGTATATTAGTTAATTTAAATGTTCTTAAAATAGCATTGACTGATGCTATTAAAATATCGCCTATGATAATATAAATAAAGAGTTTTCCTTCGAGCTAATTGATAATTATTTAATAATATTCAAAGAAAAAAATGTTTTGATCTTTTAGTGAAGATCGTTTATTTACAATTGATGATTTTGAATTTGGTCGACCACTTGGTAAAGGAGCATTTGGTATTGTCTATTTAGCACGACTTAAAAAAACAAAATTTATTTGTGCATTAAAAGTAAATTGATTTTTATTTACTTTTTTTTTAAATATTATTTTGTTTTAAATAAAATTTAGATGCTTCATAAAAGTAAAATAAATGAATATTCTATGGCTGAACAAGTTAAAATTGAAACTGAATCGGGTTTTAAACTTAATCATCCACTTATTTTAACAATGTACGATGTATTTCATGATGAAAAACGTTTTTATTTTATGCTTGAATATGCACCACATGGTCAACTTTATCGATTTTTACAAAAAGTTCGCCGTTTTTCGGATCGTTTAGCTGCTAGTGTAAGAATTATTTCTATCAAGAAATTTCCATGATTATCATCTTTTTTTGATTTAGTATATCTATCAAATATGTCATGCACTTGAATATTGTCATAGTAAAAGTATAATACATCGTGATTTAAAACCAGAAAATAGTAAAAAAATCAAATACAGAAAAAAATTTAATTTATTCTTTGATTTTTCTTCTTAGTTCTTGTTGATTGTTGTGGAAATTTAAAACTAGCAGATTTTGGTTGGTCAACAAAAATTCGTCATGCTGATACGATGTATTTTTAACATCAAAAAACGATTATTTATTTACAAATTTTTTTCTTTTAGGAATACAACAGCTTGTGGTACACTTGATTATTTAGCACCAGAAATTGTTGGTCATAAACAATATCAATATCAAGTTGATAATTGGTGTGTTGGTGTTCTTGCATATGAACTTTTAGCTGGTCGTGCACCATTTGAAGGTACAGATGACGAAACAAAATCAAAAATTGCAAATATTAATTATAAATTTCCGGATTATTTTTCTCAACATGCTCGACGTTTTATTGATAATGTAAAAGACATATTTTTTAATATCTCATGTAAATTCTCTTTTCTTTTAGCTTTTACAAAAAGATCCAAAAAAACGTATGTCACTTGTTGACTGTATTGCTCATCCATGGTTACAAAAAAATGCTTATAAATACATGTTTGGTCCTTATAAATGTCCGATATATGTTAATATGGATGAATAATATATAAATACATATATATATATATTTCTTTTTTCTTTGTATCTCAGTGAAATATGTTGAATAAAAATAAATGAATGAATTCAATAGAAGAAAAAGAAAAAAAATTGGATTTTTTCATAGAATGAATCAACTTCAAATCTGTCTATATATTGTCTAAAATCAACATGACATTGAACTTTTTTTTATCGCTTTCCCTTTTTATTACGTATTCTATATTTAACCTCATCAGTCATAGGCCATTAGAAATCAATTATAGAACTTGTTACTACAGTGTATATTAAAAAAATGAGAATATTATTTCTTTTATAAAACAAAAGCTAAATTAAAATTTATAATTGCCTAGAGGATAATGTTTATATTAACAATATTATTTCGACAAGGTAAAATTACATGTGCAACTTGTGCTATTCATCTGTTGCCTTGCATCACCTGCATGCTATCTAAACAGCTAAAACATAACAGTTAGTGGGTCATTGTCGGTATTATTTAATAGTATCATTTTAAACATAGACAAAGAAAGGAGAGAAAAAAGAATTCATTACAAAATGCTTTTAAATAAGACAAAATAATTAAAGCGGTATATTATAAAGGAAAAGCTATTAGATTTTTCTTTTTTGTTGTATGGAATGATATCTATCACTCATTATGATTGTATTAAGAATAGGGACAAAGCAAAAAGAAAATCGTAATATAACTATATCCTATCCAGATGTGTTGTTAATTTTACAAGAGAATTGAACAAACAAGCAAATATTCTATTAAAATACAGCAGGTGGCGTAAAACAATTAGATTTTTCTTCTTTTCCTTGTGGATAAAAATGTGTAGTTATTACATCATATTCTGCGGTATGCACGTTCATATAGATAATAGAATGTCTGTAGGATGCCTTAACAAGATTCCAAGTTCAACTATGAGACCTTGTACTATTCATTTGTATAACATTCTATAGTACGCACTAATATTCAAATAAATTAACGTTAGACGTTATGTCTTAGTTTTTCTTCGTTCTTTTTTTTAACTAACACATTCTTAGTTGAAAGATGAACAAGATCGATATTGTTTATAAAGAGTAAATGTGTGTTGTACGTGTGTATGAAGGTATTAATTCATTTGTTCATTAGCTTAGACGGAACTTGAAGTGTATATATAAGTAACAACAACAATAGTATAGTCTTGTATTTCTTGATGAACACCATTGCTTGTCATCGTAATCATTAGATGATAGATAGGAATAGATTTCTTTTTGTATATTTCAAAAAAAGAAGAAGTCAGAATGGAGAATAACAAGAACTAAACTTTTTTAGTAAGATGAAAAAAAACACGATGTGTTAGTGAAAGTGTCTTAGATCATAAATAAATTTGATTCACTTTTCTCAATTAGTTATGACCATGCAATTTGGCTTCTCTTCCTATGTACATAAATGAGACAGAGAGAGAGAGAGACAGGGAGAAAACGATGAAGATTAGACGAGAAGGAGGAGCGAGTGTTATTTTTTTCGAGAATAAGACTTATGTTCTCTCCTTTTCTCATTCTCTTCTCTTCTCTTCAATTGTTCAACAGACGTACGACTTCACATACATACATATATACATTCTCTCTTCAGTAACATAGCATATGTCAATTTGTTAATCAGTAAGTATAAGCGAAAAAGAAAAAAAATTATCAATTTCATTTATTATTTTTCATCTCTTCGTCTCGACATACTTCTAATCGATATCTTTTTTTTTCTTCTTCTATAAAACCTAGTGATATGTCATCGCAAACATACTTGACAAATTTCATGAGAGAATTATCATTATGACTGTTCAACTTCTTCTTATTATATTTAGCATTACTATTACCAGTAAGTATATATTCTTCTACATGCCATTTTCATCGTTCATTAAGATAGAAAATTAATGTAAACAAAAGATACTTTCTTTTTTCTTATGTTGCATGCTTTTCTTATCAAGTCAAGGTATGCAAAGTTAATATAACAACAATATTTGTATATTGAGAAAGGAAAAGACGTTATTCTATTGTTGTTTGCCGAAGGACAAATGAAACGGAAAGAATGTTATGATAACAGAATACGATATTATTAAGTTGATAATGATTAATTTTAAGGTATTGGTGGTACATCACACATCTGGAATATAAATGAAGAAATTGATTCGAGTGTTTCATTTCGATGTGAAATCGATGAATTAAATCCTAATGCAGTTGTATGTTTTCTTTATTACTTTCCTTGAACTTATAAAGTTTCAATGTAATCTTAGATAACATGGGTATATCGACCAAAAATATATAAAATCAAGGGCGTAAAATGGTTACCATTATATGCCAATGCACGTCGTTTAACACAAGATAATCATCGTTATATTGTTGATTATAGTGGTTATAATGAAAAAACAAAAAAATATTTATCTATATTATCAATTAATCAATTAAAATTATCAGATGAAGGAATTTATATGTGTAAATCAAATCAATATCAATCAATAGCATCACTTTTTAATTTAACAATATCTCGTAAGCAAAAAAAATCAAAAGAATATCCTAGGAACAAAATCTTTCCGTTTAGCTTCAATGAAAATTTTACCAAATGATGGTATTATTGAATTAAATCGTGTACAACGATCAATTAATTTATCCTGTATAGTACGAGAAGTATCAATGAATACAATTGATCCATTACATCTTAAATGGTATCATAATAATCATGAAATAAAAAATTCATATTTAATTGAAAAACCTTTTAAACATGAAAATCAAGCAACATTACATTTATATATACGTCATTTATCATTTAATGATTCTGGATTATTTAAGTGTGTCTATGATAATGGAAAAGCAAGCAAAAATGTTCAAATTTTTTATACTTCATCGAGTAAATAAAGAGATTCTCTCATTTTATGGATAAGAGTACTTTAGTTGTCTGTCTGCTTCTTGTTTAATGTAAGAGGATTATGAGAAAAGTGACAACCTACCATATGTGTTTACATGGGATAATAAGAAGAGATGTGTACGTGTGTGTTTTATATATATATATGAATTATAGTGACCATGATCTTGATAAATGTCATTTATTCTAGTGCTTGGCTATTCAAAATCAATGGGACGAAGAATAATATCTTCATGGTGGCTGTTGTTGTTGTTGTTATTTTTTTGATTATATAATGAATAATTCTTATGATTTGTATTTTTTTTTATCTACGATAAATGTGTGTCATACAGTGTTTGTTATCTTGTTCTCTATTCATCGATTTAAATTACAAATGAATATGACAGTAAAGACCTTGTTATCATTACTTGTTCTAAGTGTTCTCTCATGAGACAATATAAGAGTAATTTGTTTTTTACATATCAAAACTTATCTTTATTAATGTCAATTGACCTTGCAAGTTTATTACGCGATTATAATCATATAAAAAAAAACATAATATAAATGAATTTATTTCTTACATCATCTTGCATCATTCGAGAAATAGACAAGTAACGGATTAATAGTAACACTATCACTTGTAGATGATAGATAGATATAGATATATTCGAAAATGAATTCATTATATTTGCACAAGTGTAGGATTTGTAATGCTTATATTATAATTCAAATCCTACTAGATATA